GAAGACATCACTGCCGGATCTGCGGTCAGATATTTTGCACCAAATGTTGCGATCAGGAGATTGACGCCAAACTCTTGGACCTGAACTCTCGCGGATCCGTTCGCTCGTGTAATTACTGCCACAAAATTGTCAACCAATACATGAATGAGAGGAATCTGGACACCAATTGTCTGAACAAAGACTCGGATTTCAATGAATTCCGTGAAATGATTTTCTCGAAAAGTTTGGCTCAAAATAGCGACGAAAAGGACACGTCTTTTGCTGATAAGTCGATAGCGAATCCCATCCTAAGTCCCAACTCTAAGGCCTTATTTCGACGAAAGAGTTCCATTGGTTTTCGCGAAGAAGAATACGCGAAACCAAAGACACGAGTTCTGGACATCGAAAAGGACGCCATCAATAAAATGGGTTCTCCATCACCTCTTCCCAGTCTGTCGTCTTTAGGCAGTTATAAGACTCCCTTCAAAGGCAATGATGGTGATGATGATCTCATGCCTCTGAGAAGTGATGAGACGACTCACGAACCGCTTTGGGTTAAGGAAATCAACGAAGAATACGATTCACAAAGCTTTGAGAAAATAGACTCCCCTTTAGAGCTGATCCAAAACAGTGACGCCAAGTTAAGACTAACAAAGCCATCGGTCTCTCCCACCAGACGTATAGCGTATTCGACGTCAACCTATGATATAGAGATGGACTTCGAGAAGGACAGGGTTACCATCAGTAGAGCTGAGAAAACGGACTCAACTGAGGAGAAGCCTATCGATGCAAATGATGGACAGACGACAACATCTGATGATCTGAGTGTTGACTTTGATGTGACCACTGCTGCACCCAATTGGGACGCAGTTAAAGACGGAACCGATTATAACTTTGTTTACGAATCACTCAATTATGCATTCAATCAATTATACAATAAATTATTGACTCAACTCTTGGAAGAGGAGGGACTGTCTCTGAGTTGGCTGAATGTGATCAGTCGGTTAACGACCATAATATCAGCAGTGGTTCGACCCAACAGTCACAACGATGTCGACGAAATGGATGTCAGAAATTATGTGAAAATTAAGACAATACCGTATGGAGTGAAGAATGACTGCGCGATTATAAATGGTGTCGTTCTCACGAAGAATGTCTCGAATCGGAAGATGAGACAAACCATAATGGGTCCCAAGATTTTGTTGCTCTCGTGTTCTATTGTTTATCAGAGATATGAGAAGAAGTTGACAATTTTGGACACAATTCTTCTGCAGGAAAAGGAATACATTCAGAATCTGATTGCGAAGATCTGTGCGTACGGTCCGGATGTGGTTCTTGTGGAGAAAACTGTGGCCAGAATTGCAAAAGAGATGCTCTTAGAGAACGGAATAACTCTTGTTTGTAACGTAAAGCCAGTCATAATTGAGAGGATATCCCGGTTCACAAACGCCGCTATTGTGTCCTCACTTGACGCACAGATAGGTGTACCACAGCTCGGTTACTGTAAAAAGTTTTATTTGCAAACATTCAATCAAAAGACATTTATGTATTTTGATGGATGTGACCAACAGTTAGGCGCTACTGTTCTGTTGAGAGGCGCGAGTCTCGAGGAACTGAAGAAAATCAAAGCCATCCTTTCGTTTATGGTGTTCTGTGACTTCAATTGGCAACTCGAGAGGTCTTTCCTAATGGATGAGTACTGCTATCCCTTACAATCTGTGGACAAAAGCGATTCAAATATGAGTTTAAATAATTGTGATCTAAAGGACAGCCCACCGAAAGAGCGAAATGTCTCCTCATTCTTAGTCGACGATAACTCGGATCCATTGCGTTCAATGGCCTCAGAGTGTAATTCTCGTGATATATTGTCACCCATTAATCCTAACGTTTCCGAAGGAATACGTGATACAAATGAAGACAATTTTTATAATTTAAGTGTTAAACTAAATAAGTTATTATCAGAAATACAATTAAGTTGTTCTCCGTATATATCGACTCCTTTGCCGTATCTTTTGACAAATGCAGCCAACAATTCAAAGTTAAGAAAGTTTTTTAATCCAAACATTATTTGGTCGAAAAGATTTGAAACAAATTCATCGAAAGAGAGCGAACTTTTGAAAGTTGAGAACACATTGAATATAAGAAACAGAGAGCAGTCCTCTCCTATTGAATCGATTCCCGTTACGAAACACCCGTTTCTGAGCAGAAATATAAAGATTCCCTCGAATTCACATGAAATCAGATCATTGATCGCAGACTTTAGAGCCAACGGACCCTTCTTTAGTCACACCGACAAACGTATAGAAGAATCGAGAGTTGAAACTAATGTCTCCGAAAATGAGACCAAAACTAGTGAACAAAATATACGAATCGATGCATTGAATCCACGATTTCATCAAAATCTGTCCGTTTTGTTCTCCAGTTTCTCGTACTCGTCGGCCAATGCGCCCGACTATTGCGTTAAGCCATGGATTATAAATATGGACTTTTATGGCTGTAATGACATACCGTTGGGTGGATTCCTCGAGAGATACTGTTTCCGTCCCACCTATTCGTGTCCGAGTAATAACTGTTCCACACCTATGATAGAACACGTCCGACGGTTTGTCCACTTGAATGGATGTGTTCTCATTGTATTGAGACAATTGCAGCAGAGGGTAGAGGCGGCGCAAAACTCTATCATCACGTGGTCGTGGTGTCAGAAATGCAAGACTGGAACTCCTTATTCGACGTTATCTTCTGACTCGTGGCTGTTATCGTTTGGCAAATATCTGGAACTCAAGTTCTATGCGCCTTATTATAGACGGAGAGCCACATCGAGTTCTGTGGCCTGTTATGAGCACTCCCTACATGTCGATCACTTCCAGTTCTTCGCATACAAGCAGATCGTCGCCAGCTTTAAGTACCAGTCGATCGATATCTTCCAGTTAACACTACCACCCACTCGAGTGCCCATTCTTTGCCACCCTCTCATCAGAACTGATTTTATTGAAGATTTAAAGCAAATTGCAATCAAAGGCTATGAAATTTATTCATCAATTCTCGAGAAATTAGTTTCTATTAAGGATGAAACGAGTGGAACTAAGTATGAGATAATTGTCAACGAATTTATGGTCATTGAGTCCAAAGAAAGGGCTAATTTTAGACAACGCATAGAAGAGATTCAGTTATTGTTAACCTCTTGTAGTAATGAATCTATGGATGAGAAGATTGTCCACAAACTGCAAGACTTTTTAATACAGTTAAAGAAAATCATTGCCGAATCAGTTCACACATGGAATCAAAAAATACAAGATTTTATCGCAAATAAGAAGAAAGAAGAAAAGATGTCACAAAAGTCTGGTCCACTCACAAGCGTTCCCACAGTTGCACCGAAAGCATCGCCTGTTCTGAGTGCCACTCTTGAAGACACGAATAGTCCGCCAACGGATTGTCCAGCTTTGGAGAGTTCAGGCGTTATTTCGAGGAATGTTTCCATTTCTAGCACCGCTTCACTCCAGTCCAGTTTGGATGTCATTAAAAGTGACGTCAACTCAACCGATGTGCTGAAGGCTTGTATTGAAGAACAAGAGATTGAATGTAAAGAAACTTTGAAAGCGTTGGAGACTATTAAGTCTGACGGCGAAGACAACGATAAACGACAATTGGAAACAAGTAGTGGTAGAGACAGAACTCTTTCTGTTTCCAGTTATGGTTATGAAGTTGACATTGGAATTAATAATTGTCTCGGAAATGGTGTAGACTTTGAGGCCAGTGCTGACAATTACGCCGTCTATACATTACACGATAATAAGAGACAACAGGAGGACAACCAATCTTTAAGGTCTACTAACGAGACAAAGTCTGTGTCAAGTGTTGCCCTCCCTTCAGATCAGACGTCTTTCACTGTTAAACGCATTTTCAAGGAATTGCTCACAAATACAAACATTCTGACCATTAATTATCCCTTTCCTCTGAACGAACACTACATTCTGTCCACACATAAGGAGAACATAGAAGTGGTTGTGAAGGACGATGACCCGGCGTCTATCATATCGTATGCTTTAACCAGTTCTGAATACGAGCGACAATTGGCAGAACTTATGCGGCAATCGTCGAGTCCTCTCATCAAAAGAAAGGTCACGATTTCATCTGAATTGGAGGCCACGAGTGAATCGAAAGCGCCGACAAATCCATTGACACAACATATCGATATCCAATACAGCGATTTCAACGCTAAGTTCTACTGTTGTGTCTATTTTGCCGATCAGTTCCGCAAATTCAGAGCTAATGTCTTGGATGCAGTCAATGGCGAAGAACTATACATTCGTTCTCTAAGCAGTTCTGTCCCGTGGAAGGCAAGGGGTGGCAAATCGGGCTCAACCTTCTGTAAGTCATTCAACGACCGATTTATACTAAAAGAAATGACAAAATTGGAGTTACAGTCGTTCCTCAATATTGCAAACTATTATTTTGATTACTATTTGCGGGCTATAAGTGAGTCGAAGCCCACAATGTTGGCCCGAATTGTGGGCGTCTATCGGACCAGTTATAAGAATACGGCCACAAATACTGCATCGAAACTCTATCTATTAGTGATGGAGAATCTGTTCTATAGATGTCATATAAGCCAAAAGTTTGATTTGAAGGGATCCATCAGAAATCGTATGGTTAAGAACAGCTCCACGAGTCTGAATGGCGAGGCACTCGTCCTCTTAGATGAAAACCTGATGCAAATGAAGTGCGACTCTCCCCTCTATATTCAATCGCATTCAAAGGCAATACTCCGGGCGGCCATTGATAACGATTCGCTGTTTTTATCGTCACATTCCGTAATGGATTACTCGCTTTTGGTGGGCATTGATGAGGAGAGCAAACAATTTGTGGTCGGAATTATCGATTACATCCGACCCTTCACTTGGGATAAGAAGATTGAATCAGTGGTCAAGTCTGTGGGCAGTCAGGGAAAGCTTCCGACTATAGTTCAGCCGGACTTATATCGCCTCAGATTCTGCGACGCTATGGATCAGTATTTTCTTTGCGTTCCCGACAAATGGTATTCAATTATTAACTACTGAGCTATTGTTGAAATGATATATTAATATATTTATTAAAAGATTTATATTTTGTTGAAATTATATAAATAAATTACAATACTGTATATTAATAGTAGTATTGGTATTAATAGTAAGATTTGAATATGTAATAAGATTTTATTGAATAAAATTTATTTTAATACAAAAGAAAGAACTGAATTTGACTGAACTATTTTGAATTCACTATATTATACTATTTACACATTTTAGCGATAAATTTAATTTTTACAAGAGATTTTAACTAATTAGTACCGTAAGGCTCAGTTACCATAATGTATTGAATTGTCATTTGACCCCATTTGATTGGCTGATTAAACAAGGATTCAGAATCATTAATATAGTTTATCTCTCATTGAAATATCACTGTTAAGTTACAATAGAAATTTTTTAAATTGTAATGGATATTATTAATACACATGCAATATAAATACCGGTATTATGAATGAAACCTTTAATATTAAATTACTG